TGCTAATAAATCTCTTAATATACATACTAATAATATCATACTCTTTATTTATTAACAAAGAGTAAATAATTTACAATATGTTATATATCAATGTTACATATATTAGTTATATATTACTAAATTTATATATATTAATTATTTATGATTATATTCATTTAGTTGCATAGTTATATTATGTAGCATTCAGTATATTAGAAATTTTCCGCTTCATCTAACTTTATAATTATATATGTTAGTAAATATGATTTTAATCCGAATTCGAATCCGATTCGATCCGCGTCTGAGCTAAATAGGATATGGATTGGGACTTTCGGTCCGAGAACCCGTTAGTGATCCGAATCCGATAATCTATTTGCTTAACAAATCGAATATGGATTTGATTGATCTGATCTATTGACAGGCTTACTCCAGACCCTCTTGCTCCACCACATCGTCCCCAAAATGATTCATTCAACTGAATGGGTCGACTCATTTTTCGAGCTGACTCAGCACTTCACACTCGCTCACCAGACCGTCGGACTCAATGGCGTAGCCACAAAGGGACAAGTGGGGGCAACTGCCTCTACTGAACTTTTAATTTTTTTAAATTTTATATGGAAAGATTTTTATATTTGTATTGTTGCCCCCTCTAAAATTTGACAATTCACACATAATATACTATATATATATAACCAAAAGCCCATTCACGAGAGGAATATAATCGTGACACAATTGTAAATATATATAATATATCTATCAATTTATACTTTCCAAAAAAATATAATATTTTTTCCACCCAAAATATTATATTCTTTACCACTTTCCAAAAAAAAAAAATTCATCAAGATATTCTACCACACTTTTTGACTTTACCATAAACAAATGGATTATTTCCATCACATCTTCATCTTCCTCTTCAACATTTTCCACAATCCAAACAAAGCAAGCGGAGCAACCATTTACCAGTAGACAAAGACTAAGTCAATAGTAAGCAGACAAGTAATTTGATATTTTTTTTATCATCTAAATTTATTATTAGTTGATATTATAATTTTAATTAGAAAAATTATTAGTTATTACTACCAAAATTATTTTAGGGCTTGTTGTCCTTTTAAATTTTAGTTTATGTTTTTATTTTTTTTCACATATGTGATATATTAGAACAGTTAGGTAATTGTATTATTTTCTTTTTCATATCTTATTCTTGATTCATTGAATATGATTTTTTTTTAGTACATTTAATTGAATGAACTCAATTTTGAAACAATAATGAATAATTTGAAAAATCGTTGTGAATGTATTAAATAGAAATATTATGAATTAATGTTTTAATTTTTACATATATTGTTTTGGTTCAAATAATATATATATATATATATATATATATATATTATTGCTATTAAAGATTACCCCCAAAAGAAGAAAATTTCTAGCTACGCCACTGGTCGGACTCAATGAAGATTCGAAGCACAAGTTAGTCGGTACTGCGAGGGTGGTCGTCCCGACGATGTGGTCCGTCCAGATGGAATAATTCACGGAATCGAATGGCTGTTAATATCCAAATCAGTACAAGATAGTTTCAACTAGAGATGGAGTTTGCGATTGATCTCCGCTGTTAAACCGGAGGTAACGCTGCAGGTTGATCCGAGGACGAATCGGCTGAAAAAACCTACACCACCGGTAGGAGATCGATCAAAAACTCATTTTACAAGAATGTTACTTTAGACCTAGATGGTAGGAGATATCTAACTCCAATCTATAAATTCACTAGTAGTCTAGTAAGAAAGAGAAAGGTAAGAAACGGAGGTCAACTTAGACAGTTGACTGACGTGATAAGAAATTTGGGTTAATTCCACCTACACCTCCTAACGTTTGCCTATATTCCACACACACCCCTCTACGTTTCATAATTCCACCTACACCCCCTGCCAGTAACCACCATTTAGTTTACCAACGGAAATGTGTGATTTTACTGTTTTACTAAAATTCATAACTTAAAATAAAAGACTTTAACACTCTCTGTTTAACACCATTAAATTTCTCTCTCTGCTCACACACACACACACACACATATATACAAGCACTATATATATATATATATATATATATATATATATATATATATATATCTTTTTTCTTTTTCTTTTTCTTTTTTTTCCCTTTCTTCTTCATTGTTGTCGGCGACGAAGAAACTATGCTACCAATAGAATACACAAACAGTAAGCACAGAAAAAGATGGTTCTTATCACAGCTGAGGCGTTCTCCTTACTGCCAGCCATTCAATTGCAAGGACACACCGCCGTTCAAATTTTAGTCCTTACTGCCCGCCGTTCAATTGCAAGGATAGTTTGCTGGTTCTTATCACAGCCGTCATCCTCCGTTACGAGACCACCAACGTGCAGTGAACAAACTGCGAAGCTTCGCTGGACTGAACTGAGCTTCACCGAACTTGGGATCGCTAGACTGAACTGGGTCGAGGTAGCTGTGAACTTCGCCGCCGGCGTCTTTGATTCGGCTTACCCCGTTCTTGTCCAGCGTTACGAAGATGACTACGCGGCCGTAGATTCGATGGCGTTGAAGTCCGGCGTTTGGACTGAACTAAGGATTCTTCCTTTTTCAATCCGGCGAGCAACGATTCAGTCATACGAAACCCGTTCAGCGATTCAGTTGTTCTCAAAGCTAAAACAAACTAAGTTTGACCAAACCCAGTTTAGTCCGGCGAGCAGCGATTCCTCGACCCACCTCGGTGAAACCTAATTCAAAACGGCCATAGACACACCAGAGCTCTGTAGAAGAATTCAGCATAGCTCTGTAACTTCGTCACCATCCGAACCATCACCATTACAACCCCAAGAATCTGATTCCATTCTTGTGAAGAAAAACAAAGTTGATGTCGGCTCCTCCGCCGCCACCACTGCCGAAATGGACGTTAATGGCCAAAAATCGAAGGCGAAGTTGATTACGGAAGACGAAGCTGAAGAACAAGTTGATGTCAGCGGCAGGTGTCGGATTACAACCTTTACGGTATCACAATTAATGTCTCTCGGTGACCGAACGTCGAATTACAGGCTCGACGCTGGAACCCTCGACCGTGACTTTCTAGCTTACGTAAGCCTCGACCCTTGGGCAAACTGAAACTTTGGCCTCTCTCAATCGACAAACCACTTTAAGAACACAACAATTAAGGGCTTGAAGCCAGCAAAATGAAGGACCAATTTGGGCTCCACAATTGCTTCGAGGGTAGAGAGAAATCGATGATATAACCAATCTCTGACCCTAGAATAGATATCTATATATATATTGAAGTGAAAGGAAGGGTATTCTTGTACACTTGAGTTAACAAATTAAGGGCAGTTTTGTAATTGCATATTGGTGAACGAGGTTAAAGACGTCATTTTAGACATTAGAAGGGCAAAATTGACTTTTTAACAATTTGCTGATGCTGACATCAGCACACACCGTGAGTTGCTTAACGTTAGGGGATAATTTGCTACACAAACCAAAACCTCAAGGAAGGTAGGTGGAATATTGAAACGTAGAAAGGGTGTAAGTGGAATATAGGCAAACGTCAGGAGGTGTAGGTAGAATTAACCCAAAAACTTTTTATAAAAATGTTAAATCTAAGTAGAATACATGACTTAGAAAGAGTGAAAAAAAAAAAAAAAAAAAAAAAAAAAAAAAAAACCAGGAGTTTACGTGGTTGGCCCATTTATAAGAAATAAAGACAAAAATGATAATAATTACTACCTCCATCTCATTTTTATTGTTCACTTCGTAAATTGTGACTCACATAATTGTGAGTCACAGTTTACGAAGTGGATAACAATAATGGGACGGAGGGAGTATATAACAATATGTTAATGTAATACATAAAACACGTTATATGTCGCACTTTCACATTATTTTGTGAATCTTGGATACTTAGAGCTGCCACTTTGACATCCTCCTGTCAATTTAATTTTTTAAATGAAATTATTATCTATTACTTTATAATTAAGAAAAAAAAAATTATTTTCCCTCCCACACCTGATCAAAGAGAGAGGTACCATCCAAGGGCAGAGCCAGGATTTTATTTCAGAGGGGGCACAATGTACTTGTTAAATTTTTTTTTTTTTTTTTTAACAAATATGACAATATAATTTTTTTAAATCAAAAGGGCAAATAAGAAAAAAATAGTTGTAAAATAATATATTAAATAAATACTGTAAAAAAAATATAGTTACAAATATAAGAATAAAAATATTAATTAATAATATTTTAATTAAATACAATCTCAAATGTCATCAATAAAAGAAATAAGTTTAAAAAAATAGAAAAATACATAATTATACATAAGTGAAAAAAGAAATTTTTTGAAAAAGGAAACAAAAATTAGAAAAAGAAAAATATATTGTATATTTGAAGAAGGGTATGTAATTTTTTTTTTTTTCAAAAGGAAATTAAAAGAATTTGAAAATTTGAGGGGGGCACTATTTAAAATTACCATGTAAGTATATATATATATATATATATATATATATATATATATATATATATATACCAAAAATACGTACTTATGTATAGTAGGTTGGAGTAAGGGGGGCACATGCCCCCTTTGGGCCTTATTTGGCTCTGCCCCTAGTAGTATCCCACGGTCTCAACCCGCGTACGTGGGTGGAGCTATAAAAATATAAGAAAAATTTTTGTCAAACATTTTTGTATTACTTGGTGGTTATAAGAAACAAATTTGGAATTATATAAGAAAGTTTATTGGCGAGCCCTATAAATATTAGGAATGAAGATAAAGTAAAGTATTATGAGATTTCAATATCAACGACAATATAATATATGCTAATACTTTTCTAAACGAGAAATTATATAACTATATAAGTTACTAAAATAATTCTTACTGTGAAAAGGCTCACCTGAAGAAACCAACCCATGAAAAGGCTTGATATAGATCAATAGCAGAACCAATAAAAATAAATAAATAAATAAATAAATAAAATAATAATAATAATAATAATAAAAGAAGATGGGTCTAAGGTAAAAAGGATAATCACATTCATTAATCCAGAAACAAGTGCAATTTAAAGTAGAATTGCAGGACTAAAAGTATAAGAATATTGACCCCAACCGACCAGAAATAAGTTAAAAATATCCAAAAACATGAAATTTAAGGTAGAATGTAACCGGCCCTTAGAGAGAAATATAACAGTAGACCAACAAAAGTTTTTCATCTTGCAAATAAAAAGAGATTAATTGTTTGGTATCATGAATGTGTCTCTAAGCTCAGTCCACATTTGCTGGACCCATGACAGAGAGCTCTCCGCGGTCTTCTCGGTCTCAAGGGTTGAGATCTCCTCAAGAACAGAGGACCTAGACTGTTCTAGATTAACCATCTTCCCATGCAGTTGCTTCATCTCTTTCCCAGCACTTTTCTTCTTCTCGGAAATCTTAGCCAGTTCAGCCTGCAGCCGCTCAACCTCTTGTTGAAGCTTTGCCTCCTCTGAGATCAAGTCTTTGTGAATAGCTCTCTGCATTTGGAACGCGAAAGCATTAATCTTGACTTGCTCAACCAAACACTTCTGTGTTCCTCGCTTTTCTGCTATTTTTTCCTCGACCTCCTTAAAAGAATGGTTGGAAGTCAAAGTTTTGAGAACTGATGGAAACTCAACCTTGAGGGATTTCAGCTGTGCAAGCTGGGCTGGAGTGAGGTCATGACACTCTGATAAGACACGGATGGATTCTGTAATGTGTGCGGCAAAATCAGGAATTTCTGATAGGTCCCGAGATAACATCTTTATAAAGAATTTTTTGGCTTCATCAACAGTTGATTGAGGAATGGAGGCGACGACCGATCCTTCAGTAGTGGAGTCAAAATGTGCATCAGTCTCTACTACAGACACCAACTTGGAGGTATAGGCATCCATGTCATCAAATGAAGATGACTCAAGAGGAGAACCCATTGGAAGACTCCTTGGCAACTCAACTTCCTACAAATATTACAAAAGAAAATTTCTTTTTAGCAACTGACTCTCAGGTCAAAGAGTGTTTTTTTTTTTATTATTATTTTTTTTCTCTCTCTCAAAGATTTAAAAAAACAAAGAAAAAAAAGAACATTGTTGATTGACTAGAGAAAAGCTGCTGACCGGATCTTGGGCGTGAGGGGAATTAACCATTGATTCCTTTTCAACAATTGGAGTGGCTGGTGGGACCGAAGACTGGATCACTTCAGTTGCTGATTTACTGGCAGGAGGAGGGCCCAAGGTATCAGTCTGAGGCAGGGTTGTATCAGTATCAGAATCATTCTGTCTAATCCTCCCATCAATATCCCCTTGAGAAGAAGAATTAGGAGTTTCATCTCTGCCTGAGGCAGTCTTTGCCGCCTCAACCGTAAGTTCAACTGAACGGAAGCCAGGGAAATCAGCTTCAACAACACATGTATCGTTCACAAGATAACCTCTGGAAGCTTCAAATTAAGGGAAATCAGCTTCAAATTAAGGATGGAAAAGAAATTGAATTTAGGATTGGAGATAAAACTTTGCAGGGGCCACCTTAATTTCTTTTAAAAGATGGCACTGAAAACTTTGTTTTGTTGGTGGTGGGGGACTATGCCTCCTTATCATATATGCGGCTCAGCCAATACATACAAAGAAGTAAAGATATAATTTGCATGAAAAACTTATCCGTTTAACATTATCAGAATCAATCTATTTTAGGGTCGATTATCCAGTGAAGTATTATGCCATATCAATCTGATAAGCATTTAAAGTAAATTAAATGTTTATATTTTTCAACACCAAAACAAAAAACATATAATATCTCCAGTGAATACAGTCAATGCATCAACAAAATCAGTTTTGTCTCCAATATACCTTACATTTGGGCAAATTCTAGCCTGAAAATTATAAAATTAAGGATATATTTCCATGCCATTCAACATGTGATTGCATTTCATTACAGACAATTTACACATTAACCACTTCTAAGAAAGGCTGCAGGATTGAGATTCTTACTGTCTGAGTGGCAGTTAATTGACTGTAACTAATGATGCTTATTCAGACTTATTTCTTCTCCTTCTTTAGGATGAATGTTGAGTATCATTTTTGGCCTTCTACCACTGGTAAGGGAGAGGAGCCTTTGGTATCAGTGTAAGCTGATAGAACAGGTAAATTTCATATACAAGGCAAGATTAGATCAATTGAGAACTTAGCGTTCTTGGAAAAATGGTCGTGGAGACGTATCCATCACGGAGAAGGTTGATGAATAGGTGACAGTAACGAACTCAGTAACAGTAACAATCAGGTGGTATGTAGAGATAATTATCATTTAATTATTTAGTACATCATGACCAATTACTAAAGTAGAGGTTCACCTTATTTAATTACTTAGTCAAAAATAAAAAATCAATTCACCACATCTTTTCTAATTAAAACTTATGCTAAGTTCCAAGTTCCACACCTGTGGCATTCAATAATTGTAAATTAAAATGAACATATAATTAAGAGTAGTAAAACACAGATTAGAATCATAATACCAATAGAACGCACAAATTCTGCAAAGATAAATAATATATTTCCACACAACATATAAGCCTATGTGTACATATATATATATATAGAGAGAGAGAGAGTAGTGATCTCTTGCTCCCCGTGGAGCAAGAAAATTCATCTGCACTTTCTATAGTGACCATTAGATCTAATGCAACTGTCATTATAGAAATCCGCTTACATCATTTCCTTTTAATACAAAACCACTGATACTATTTTAGTTTCTAAATTCAATATTTACCAATACCACTAATTACAACAATAAAAGGTGATTATCCCAAAAAATAGATTTAAACCTCTTCACCTTTGAAAATCATGTCTCTCAAACAAATAATTAGAAAAGATAATTAGAAAAAATAGATTTTAATCCATTGAAATTTATGGGGTGAAGTGTTGTGCAGAGAAAATAATTTTTATTTTTATTTTTTTGAGTCGATGTTTTATATGTCATTAGTTTGATTTTCCTGATGTGAATAGGTTGATGTATGTATGACTAGGACTATGATTTATTACGAAATTGCTAAAAGGTCTTGGTGAATAGTTTGTGGGAGTTTTGTAAGAATCAGAACTTAGGATTAAAGGGAGACAAATGAGATAAAGAATTTGCAAATTCAATCTATAGAAAGTGCGGATGAATTTTTTTGCTCCACGGGGAGTAAGAGATCAGCACTATATAGTACAAGATATATAGATATTTGTAAATTAAAATGCAAAACACACACCTTGCTTCTTTGTGGACTTGTTATCAATTTGATTGATCACAGATAAGCTGAATTGCGCGAATTTGCTCCACCCAGATGGCAAAGTTACTAAACTTGCAGAATCTAAATAGATCGATAAATGGTCCACATTGTTCCCCTTTGGAAAAATAAGCAACCGCCTTTCCCAGACCAAAAAAAAAAAAAACTTAAAAATCAAACATAAGGATCAAAATCAAAATCTAGAAAGAGGGTAGAGATGAAAAATTAACCATTTGTGTTCTCCAACATAGAAACTTTCAGAGTATAGCTTCTGTGTTTTCAGCGTGGAAAATTTGTCAACCCTCCATGTGAAGCGTGCTGATGATGGATCATCAACTGTATTAACAGTTTTTGCTGGTGCAGCAAACAATGATTTTGGAAGAACAATAAAAAGAATCAAAGCCCAGCAATTGAATCAACTCTACTACACACAGACACATATACAAACACATAGTCTGCGTGACTTTGGGTGAACTGGTTCTATTGAAACTGAAACTAAACCCAAAATTTGAAAACTAGATTAGAGGCAATACCTTCCATGGGGCGAGGGATTGTGTTAGGATCGGAGAAAATTCACTTGAACATGTTGGAATCTAGAGGGATAAGATAGAAGTCCAAAATGCTTTACCCTTTTGTTTATTTTGTTTTTTTTTTTTTTTTTTTTTTTTGGGGAATTTGCATTGCTTTAGTTTTTACGTACAAACAAAATTCAACCCCTTTTTTTTTTTTTTTTATTGGAAAAATTACATATAAATGGAGTCAAAGTTCTATATTTAAACTTAGTCAAAGTTCTATATTTCTCTAAAATGGATTGCTAAGGTGGTACATGGTTTTTTACTGTTTAAAAAATTGTGGTGCCTAAAATGCCCTTCCCTAACAAAAAAGTAGTACCTCCAATTCAAAAAAGTAGTACCTTCGCGGGTGTTTAAAAAACATGATACCTGGACGCCAAAAAGTAGTACCTTCGAAGAAAAAGTAATACCTTCGCGGAAGGGTATTTTAGGCACCACAATTTCTAAACAGTAAAAAACCATGTGCCACCTCAGCAATCCATTTTAGAGAAATATAGAACTTTGACTCAGCCTCTAAGTAAATATGGAACTTTGACTCTATTTATATGTAATTTTTCCTTTTTTTTTTTTTTTTTTTGAAGTTGATACGGAGCACGAGAAAAAGCGAAGGGACACTGTTTAGAGTCCAGTTGTTCAATCTTCAAAATTCAAACTTCAAACTTCAAACCGGGACCCAGTTCTTTTTAAAATCATTTCATATTAAACGCCGAGTGCATTTGTCACTTAAAAAATTCATAATTGTAATTGTGAATTTAAAAAATAAAAATAAAAATACCATATGAGATCTTCTAAGAGATAAAATAAACCATCACATACTAGATTTACCCCCTTTTTTTTTTTCTTTTTTTCTTTTTTTTTCTTAATATTTTGGTATTAAGGATTAGGACAGCAAATGAATCATTTGAAATTGATTCATTTAAAACTCCATGTGTGCTCATTTAGCAATAAAGAAGCAAGTACAAACTAGATTTTTGGGGTTGGAATTGATTCCAAATATTATTAGGTTTGACTCGTGATCACACTAATGACTAAATTGTAGGCTCGTATATGTTCATAAATATAGACTCTTGAACATCATCACGAATATAAGATTATGCAGGGTTGATTGAATAAGTTCATGAATATAATATTGAACAAGAGTTCAAATTAACTTTAAATGAATTTTTTAAATAATGACAAGTCGAGTGTGCAGTCTGTACTCAAATTTTTAAACTCGTTAGAAAGTTAGAACTGAACACGCATTTAAGCAAACCCCATTTCAACTTAGCTCGAGAATAACTTGATTTTTTTCAAATAATATTATTCTTGGGTGTTGGGAGAGATAAGAATAAACAAATACAGCGGAATAACTCTTTTCCCTATATGCGAGCAAATATAGTGTATCTCTAATTTTATATGTACTAAAAATAATAGAAAAGAAAATCAATCACACCAAATCACAAGAACACAAGCAATTTTTTATGTGGAAAATTTCCCCAGTGTGAGGAACAAAAACCACGGGACTTAGTCCAGTTGAAATCTCCACTATCAACCAAATAATGGGTACACAAAGTCTTCTCTAATCGCAATTAGAGGTTACAATACATCTCATCAAGATATCATCAATCTTGGCAAAAACAAAGAGAATTGGAGAGAAAATACCATAAACCCGGTTACTGTTCACGGGCATGAATCACTGTTTCTGAGCTCAAAATCCGATCTCCACCGTTCAGATTTTTACTCATTGAGTCGTGAACATCTCCTCCAAATTTCAGTTCGATCGGACCACAGACGAAGCGAGACCAAAGGTTTGATAAAATCTGGGCAGTGTGAAAAAAATTGCGTTTTTCTCTCTTTCTTTTGTGTCAGCTACGGCTGATCTCTCCTACCTTTTTATTTTGACTTCCTTAGGGTTATTCACCCTAAGGGCTGGGCTTTGGGCTTTCCTCCATATATAAGGAAATAAACCCAACAAATCTCCCCCTTTCCGACTATGTGGAGAGAATCGCCATCCCGGCGATCGAACAACAAACTTCAAGCTTCTCTCTTGGTAGGGTCTTTGTCAACATATCAGAACTATTATCATCAGTGTGAACCTTCTCAAGTTCAAGTAACTTATTGTTCAACGCATCTCTGATCCAATGGTATCGTACATCAATGTGCTTAGATCCTACATGGAAACTGGAATTCTTAGCAAGATGAATAGCACTCTGGCTATCACAAAACAACACATACCTCTACTGCATGAAACCAAGTTCTCTCAAGAACTTCTTTGTGTGATACCTCATGATTTCGGAACACGGGTTGATCAAGTCCGCGCACAAAACCAAAGGATATCAAAACAATTAAAGTATTTAAACAAGCACAGAATACAAGATGAATAATAAAGAATAAATAAACCATTGAAGAAAACTAATAAATAAATATTAATTAGTAATTATTCAACAGTTACAACTCGAGAATCCGGTAACTCCAGGACCCCTTAAAACATTATCCAATAATCCAATACTACTTAAAAGTACACAAGATGAATAGATGAATGACAGTCTCCCAATTGCGGATCCTTAACCTCGAGACTGGAATCTCTAATAACCTGAAAAAAATAAATCGTGGATTAAACCCTACGAGCAAGTTCTCTCTACCAGACCTTTGAAAACCAATAAGTAAATCATCTCTGATCAAAACCAAACCTACTAAAATTTTAAGGTTAATAAAGATACACATATGTATAAATAATTATATACATTATAACCTTCCCTTCTCTTAATATGTTCATTAATTTTCAAAACCATTAAGTCATGATTAAAACATAATCCTACCTCAACCAATTCACAATCTCCTTCTCTTTTAAAGAGAAACATTTTAACCTTAATTCCATTTTAAATAATTTAATAATTTAAACAATAAAATATAATTAAGAGAACATTATATTTAATTCCAAAACCAATAATGATTTTAAGTATTTAAATCACACAGCCGATATCTAGACTTTGACAAATCATCCATGTCACCACTAGTATTATTTTATTAATATGTATCAAATAATACACTAACCTGTAAGTACTAGACTATTCTAATTTAATAATATCTAATCCTAATCTAATTTAATAATATCTAATCCTAATCTAACTTATACATACAATAATCATAGATGATATATTTTAATCATCTAACACATATCAATATAATTACACTTTGGCAAATCAACCATGCCATTGTAAATATATTTATCTATATATTGGCAACTCAACCATGCCTTCTTAAGTATATTTATTTATACTTTTAGCAATTCAACCATGCCTCTACAAGTATATATATTTATACAAATTAACTAGCAACTCATCCATGCTTCCTATGTATGTATTTTATTCATACAAATACTTAGACAATATATTTACGCCTATGACAACTCATCCCATGTACAAATTGTAGGCTCAACGGCAACTAATTTATACATAGATATCTCATGCAGATTATAAAGCACATCCCTAATTTACTAACCAATCTATCTAAATATATAAAATAAGAAAAATAATACTAATAATCTTAGTTCACATACATATATATACACATATATTATTAGAATATATATGTGTATAATCTTTCCCTAATAATCCTTAATTATTTAAATCCTATATATATATATATATATATATATATATATATATATATATATATATCATTTCTTCCATACTAATCATAATTTAATAAAATTCATGTATACACATATATATATGTATAATTATATATATACATATATACACCACATTCCAATATCATAAGTTATTATATTTATGCAAAAATAAATTATACTAATCATTAAAGTAACACTTTGTGGCTTTCAGGACACCATGAACACCTCCTCTAATGGTTGTTTTCAACCCTAAGAGGCTTAAAACCAATTCTGGAACATCCCCGGACTATACAGCAACCTGCCGGAACCCCAAAGAGTGCCTCACGTGCCCCCACGTGCCGCCAAACTCTTCAACATTCACTGCATGCGCTTCCACGCGCTACCATGCACTCGCACGCGCCTGATCCACTCTCAGCACATATGTGGCTGCTTCTAGTTGGTTGATACTTCCCCCTTTGGTGAGCCGCGTCACACTGAATCCATCTTCCACCATTTGACTATATCTAGCATTCAGATCTTGCATGTGCACTACTCCTCATGGACCGCACCGTACAAGATCATCCTCCTCCATCCATCAACTCCATTTACGGTCCAGATCAGGTGTACATCCCTCCCATGCATACACGCCCACACTGGATCATTCCATTGCCCATTAGGACCATCTAATGGTTCTGATTTGGGCGCACCGTAGCTCTGTGAGCCGCGCCGCACAATAACCCTCTCCGTTATGCAAACGCAGATTTACTGATTAGGCTCCAGTATACAAAAGTTATAATTTAAGCCCTTAAATAATTATACAACTAATTCTAATAAATTCAGAAAAATATAAAATAAATCCAGAAAAATATCTAGAAAATTCCAAAAATTACAGAAAAATTCTAGAAACTCTAGAAACCCTAATTAATCATATTGGGTCCAAGATTAACCTATAGATTGATTTAAAAATAGATACAACACATATATGTATAAATTAAAACCCAAAATTCCAAAAGAATTAAAAACATAGTATTTCATACTTTTAATTCATCAGATCTAACTATGATTTAATTAACAAATTTAATTAAAATATTGATACTCAAGGTGAAATATTTATGAATTCTAAGAGGAAAGATAGTGAAAACTCGTTTGAAAGTTTCAAAACGAAACCGACGCTTCAAGCCTTGAGTGTCTCTTTCAATTTCGGCATCCTCTCTCCTAGGCCCGGCTGTCTCCTTGTCAGCCCTCTCTTCTTCAGTCTTTGTCTCTCTTATTTTTCTAACGTGACAAAACTCTAATCGATAAAACCTTAAGTGTATATTTATACATATTAATACCTAATCCTATACCAATAATAACTACTAAATAAAAGGAAACTAATAATCCTTAACTAATATAAATATCTAGACACGCATATTTTGTATAATATATATATGTATATTTCCTTCCATAATTAATTATGAATTAATTAAATCATATATACCTATATATATCCATAAATATATATC